TACCATCACCATTACCATCATGTACCATCACCATCACTATCATGTATCATTAAAAACATGTATCATTACCATTATCATTGATTATGATTGATTGTTGGTTTACCTTTGCATGACATGCAATTTTCAGGTGAGCTGCCATTACAAGTTGCACATGACATATGGCAATCTATACATTGATTATCAGTTTGGTTGTGATATGTCCCAGCAGGACAGCTACTGAAACACTTGGACCGAAGGAGAACAGACTTGGGCTCACAGGACAGACAATGGATGRTATCGTCAGTAGCACCATAACACGCAGAACAGGACAAAGGACAAGGCTTGCAACTAACGATAAAGAGTRATACAATTAAACAATATTGAAAAATGAGATGGATTCTGTTCAAATTACTAYTATAATATCTAACCTGTTATCACTTGAATAAAGGTAGGTTTTGGCTGGACAACGAATGACACAGCTTGAATTGATTAAATGATAACCTTGAATACATGCTGAACACTGTTCTGGAGCAGGCCCGGTACAGGCCGAACAGACGCTAAAGCAGCTGTCACAAGCCTTCAAGGTATAGTTTGCATAAGTTCCATCTGAACAGTCATTTGCAGCAACACATTGGTAGTTGTCAAGGAATGAGCCATGATTACATGATTTGCACTTGGTTGGATCTTTCTGGTCACAAGACAGACATGATGAACTGCATGCAATACAAACACCATGGGTTTGCTGTGAGTAATAACCTGGGGAAATACAAGGATGTTTTCTTAACCAGGTTGGATTTCAGGGATGTCTTGTGAAGGTAATCACAGGTACTTACCATCAGGGCATGCTTGAACGCACGTACCACTTTTGCCTGCACCCAATCTAAAACGTCCAGAAGAGCATGACAGACAGTCCTTATCATCAGGGCCTTTGCATTCACTACACAACGAAGCACATGGTTTGCAGAGTTGATTTGAAGTATTTGCATAAGTTCCAGGAGGACATGATTTTAGACATACTCCCTGATGTAAGAACAGAGGAACAACCTTTCCAGCAACGTCTTTATGATTTCCACATTTAGTGCAACTTTGTGAGCCTGACGTTGAACATTCTAAGCAAGAAGGATGGCAGGGGACACACTTTCCGTCATTCATGAATTGCCTGGTTGGACATTTGTGCTGACATTGTGTACCAACAAGCTTCGCATGAGGATCACAGGAGGTGCATTGAGTAGCTTTACTTACACACGTTTTACAGGATCCCGAGCACTTTTCGCATTTTTGGTTTGTTTTGAACGAGCCTTGTGGACACGTGCTAATGCATTTGTGATCCATTAGGAGTAAAGGATCCAAACAAGATAAACAATTGCTGTTACTAGGACCTTCACATCTTCCACACGCTGCACTACACGGCTTGCATTGTTTTTCTTTAACATCCAAGTATTCTCGGTCAAACTGACATGAACTAACGCACTCCTGAAAGAATTGAAAATATTGTATGTGTTATCAGAGTGAATATGTTGATTCGAGTTCCATAATGAGCGAAAGACAGTCATACTGACCCCTGTTAAGTTACGTTTGAAGTTCTTGCATTCCGTGCACTGATCAGGCAGAGATCCTGTACATCCATCTTTACATTCCACATCACATGCAGGTACTGGTTGTTTACGAGATGTTAAAGGATTAGGGTCTTTTGATGTACCATACAACACCAAAGACCAGCTGTGAAGTTTGCCRGTGTTGGAGCTTGGCCCTGCAAGTTTGAAAAGTCATATTTTACGACATGAAGACGCCTTCAACTTTTTTTAATGTTTGTGTAACAGAACATATCAAATTATTATTTAGTTAGGTTAGATTAAAGCTTATTCTTGAATGCCCAAGTGTTCGTTCGCGCATCCATGTTCGCGCATCCATGTTCGCGCATCCATGTAGAAATAATTAAACTATACACGCACCTAAATTCTCAATTTCTAAAGTCCAAGTGCCCTCTGGATTTTCTTCCCATGCATGTGTTGTCATGAAGGCCCAGTCATGAAAACCACTTCTAGAATTATCTCTCAACCGCTTTGCCAACAAAGTAGACTTGGTACCACTTGGTGAGGTTAGGTACAAAGCAAGATCACCACGTTTAGTGAATGAAAGAGATACAACTGCCTCTACATGTTCAAGGTATTTTACACTGTTTTCTGTGCCTTGGCATCCACGAGCTTGAGTAGTAACTGTCAAACGTCCTGTGCTAGGAATAGTCCTAAACAAAAAATATTTTCATGTTTGCTAATGCTTTCTAGAGAAAGTACACTATGCACGACAACTTTAACACAATGCAAGGCTACCTCAGCTCAGGGACCACCTGTATTCTAATATTACAGATATTACAGATAAAGCGACGAAAAAGATCTAAACATTCTAATGATTCTAGAGATTACTATACCTTTGTTTTGCATCAGGTAACTCATGGCACACGTGTTGTTGAGGAACRGTTTCCCAGATACGCGCCAACCTCACCAGTTCTTCGGCGTCCAGCAAACCATATCCAAACTTGTGGCTAAAATGACGACCCACACCGTTCATTGTAATATCTGTGGCGTGCAGTTTATCCATTTTGGATGTCCTAACCACTAAATGTTGCATGTCTCTCCAAGTCAAGTTTCGACTGCAATAAAAATCAATTGCTTGGTTACATAGATGATAAATTGAAGAGGATAAAAATCAAACTGCAACATACTTACTTGACTTCCAAGGCTAGAGCCAATATCCCAGCAGCTAGTGGAGCAGAGGCTGACGTCCCCGTGTGAGATGTTGTGCATGTATTACCAAGATCAGTCGTGACCTATAAATATGATAATTGGTCTATTGTAGTACGTAATGTGAACATAAAATAGCAAGGGTATTTGTACACTTACTATCTTTCTCATGCCCCAAGATCCACTACTGAATGTTGTAGCTAATGTAGAAGAACATGCTTCAGAATACCAAGGTGAACCTCCATGTTCAGTAGCTGAACTAATTGAAAGCGTGTAGATGCTATTGGTGTAGCCGTCACAGTTACAGTTATCACGTGCACGGCCACCGTTACCTGATGCCCACACGTAAATAGAGCCCAGTCCTCTACGACCCTGAATGGATTGGAAACGAAGCGCCAATTTGTAAATATCTAGTACTACGYATGCGTGGTCACGTACGAATGTTAGGGTTACCTTGGTGATACCATCAATAAACGCCTTCTTTGCTAACTGTGCTGGACCATCGACTGTTCTTCCGTCATCATCAGGGCCCCAACTAGCACTATAGATCTCGATATGCTGAGGTTGCAAGCTTAGAGAACTTGCTTCGACTGCATCTGTCACATCTCCATCAAGCATCCGCACTCCTTTCAATCAACACATTATTTTTAATAGAATAAGGTCCTGAAGGTCAAGCTTACGATCTATATACATATACTTACCACCAATCTTGGCTTTGGGTGCAACACCTACATTACAAAAACTGTTATTAAATTGAGCTGCAACTTCTCCAGCGCATCTAGTGCCATGCCTATTTTCATCATTCCATGTCCGTCGTGGACTGGGATCTGCATCGTTAGAGTTGAAATCATAGCTTGCCTTGGGATCCTAACAAAATATCAACATGTGTTATTGTCGTCATCATCATTATAGAAGACACTGAATCAGTTTCGTAGCTTTGCATATGTAGTTAGACATCTCTATTGTCATGTGTTAGTATGTCTGCCCTTATCTTCGCAATTAAACWTTACGTCATCGTACGTCAAATAGAGCGAAATTCTTATGATCGTTTAAACCTCGCTGTGTGGTGTGCAGYGGCGGATCCAGGAATTTGTTCAGGGAGGGATGCAGCGCACATAGTTAACCCAGGGAGGGCTGTATCCCTTAGAATCAAAGGGAAAAAACATTATTTTGCATTGGTTATCTTCGAAGTAGGGGCACAGAGTTGAACCAGGGAGGGGTGCGCACCCCATGCACCCCTCCCTTGGATCCGCCACTGGTGTGTGACCTTGACGATACGTGACCGAGCATTTTGATTGGCTGACCAATGACCTCGCACGCAGTCATTGTCATGCAGTTTTGTAACGCGACTCCGTTACCGTGTCCTTTCACAGTTGAAAAAAATCTGCCCTCCAGTCGACAGTATAATGGTCGTTTAGGGTAATGTTAGTCTATCGAGAACTAAATCAACTTATATCGTGATCCTGATGAATATACGAGTTCTAAGACTTCAAACTTCGCTTGCCTTATGGTCCTTTCGATGACGTGGATCATTTCTAATAGTGGAATTATGACTTATTGAGTAGAAGACATACTTACATAATTTTCTATTAAATCTTTATGGGAGTGTTCAATTCCTGCCAAAAGAAAGATRGATTGGTACATTTTTTCGGATACGAGGCATGGTTCAAAGCAAAGATAGGGGTCACACGAAACAATACTTGTATAAGGGGCGAGGTCAAAACAATCGTCCGAAATTTCCGATCTAATGGATTAAGGTTGTGGGTACCGATACATACCCCCTCCCCCCTCGGAGACCTGTTCAAATGCTCGATAACGGTGGTCTGTAGTGGCAATTCCTACACACAAATATGTTTTTTAGCATACATGCAGACAGACAGTCCATTCATTTCTGTGATTTGGCTTTTAGTTTTTGAGATATTTGGCGACAAAATCTAAGATTTCACTTCCAGAGGTGGTGGGTATCGGGTAACACCACCCCTCCCCCCTAAATCGGGTCCCGWGAGATGACAATTGTTTTGCCCTCATCCCTAAAGATGGGTAGTGTAAAACAGAATTACTTAGTTAGGGTAGAGGGGCATTACATTACTATAGTATCTAAATTGCACATTCCCGATGGGATCATACCGATCACCAAATTAGATAAATATTTGTCAGGCAATATTTCCTTCTCTCTTCATTCCTCCCATTAAACTTCTTTGCCTCCCTCCCCCCTTTGCCCCCCTCCCACCCCTCCCTTGTTATTCCTTTTAACTTTCTTTCTTCCTCTTCAACTCTCAACTGTTATCCTGTACTAACCATCGTCTAAGATAGATACTACAACATTTGTACCAAATATCCCCTGTTTCCATACGGGCAGTACATTGTGGTCATAACCTTCAAATGGTGCTTTCGTATTATTCTAGACATAGAAAAATCAATCAATCACATAATAATGGTAATCACTCAATCCCAATGCAACATTTTGTATAAGATAGAACACTACACCCCTCCACTCAATGACAACCTTCGAAAAGGGGGAGGCATTATGCAGCACCATGTTATAAACTGCTCGACGGGAAGTGAAATAAGATAGGTTATTAGTAATAGATTAACATACATGTGATACCTACACACATCTTACTCTATACTCATCCTCTACATTTTTAAAAATTTTATCCCCTCTTTGAGAGTTCGAAGGTGATGATAATYCCGCACTCGCAGTTTCGTGTATAAATATGATAGAATTAATCTACAATCGATCCATGACTAAGGTGATTGTGTTACATATTGTTTACGTGTGATCGTTCAGAGCAGAAATTCATCATGATTACCATCACGTTCTCAAACACCTCTTTAAAAGTATTCCAAAGCATATTCTATGTATACATATACATAGAACAACGTATGTTGTTTCATTGTTTCGTCTTATGATCGATTGATAGCCAGAAGTAATACGTATAATTAGCGACGATAGAGGATAGGAATTTTATCGGTTTTGAAGATCGACACAAGAGAGGTTGTTCATTAAAACCGACAAGAATTACGTCTGAGAAAAGTTAAATCGGTAAAATCATGATCAATTAAAGTTCAAGCAACTGTCAATTAAAAAAAAAACGATTAGGCACATACACGCTCACATACAATATAGATCGGATAGACACTCACTAAGTACCACTGTTTAGGAAAGTAGGGATCGTTGAATTTCGGATCGTATGACTCTCGTTTTACTCTTTTCTTTATGACTTGTTGTTTCGCCCATCGAACCTGTGAATGTCGGGGTAAAATAAGCATCATTAGAAAATAGAATGCAGGTGTGAATTATCTGTATATACTGCATAAATTTTAGTCATTCACTCCGACATAACAGATTATAAAGATTATATAGCAAGGAATTCGAACCTTCGTGTCTTCATAAAGTAATGTAGTCTTCTCCTCTACGCTTCGTTTTGATCTCCTTGGATGGGAGTCGTGTCGAAAAACGAAAAACCCTTCTAGAYTACCAATCTACAATATCACGAAAGAAGGAAGTTAAAATATTAAAAAAGTAAAAATAAAAGACAAACAAGTATATTAACATGAATAACAATTAATACACATACGAGTTATTCTGGATACTTAATATTCAAGTTCTAAATTACCTGTCCTGTATTGATATACCCGAGTTTCTTTGCTATTCTATCGGCTTCTTCCTTTCCTCCATCGATTTGTATTGCCCATGTATTAGAATATGAATTGTCGATCGTAGTCGAAATTGTGAAATGGACGATTTGATACGAAATTAATACAATAATTCTTGCAGTTACTTGATGTAACTGCATATTCGATCACTAACAATTAAATTCTTGAAATTGCTGCCATAAAGGCCTAAAAAGAAACATAAAAAACTTGACTAGAAAACAGCGTATTCGTGAAAGAACACGTTTACACGAGACTATGATTTTGACCTCGGCAACTGTGAGTGACATACACGAATGTGATACAGAAAGTTACGCTGGTGATTAGGATGTTTAACAATGGTGACGTCAGTACAGCTAGTTACAGCTAGTATATCAATCGCAAACAACCTTATTCTAGAGTACTTTCGTATTGGATATTTTTACGCAGAAGTAAGAGTTTTATTTGAACAGTTAAACAAGGTGTGTTAACTTAGCTTCGTAAACCAATAAAAACGTCTTCCACTCGACAACAACTGTTCAATCAAAGTTAAGTGAATGTCGCACCGGAAATGGCTTCAAGACTTCCGCCGGTACATCAACTTTCGTCTGAGATAAAATGATTTACTATTACTATAWGCTCATGATTCAATGGGTGTATCGGGAAATCATGTCTAAATGATTTACTATTACTGTTATAAGTCTTTATCTGTTAGTCTTTTGTCACGACACTAAAGTACGGGGGAGACTACCTACAATCCGCCTACCAATTCCAGAACCTAGCTCCCCAGTTCGAAGAAAAGAAGAAAAAAAAGCTCCCCAGCTCGAAATCCATGGGGACATGTTCTTTCATGGATGCTGCATAGATTCGCATTATTTTCCATACCTCACACATTTTATTATTATACGAAAGAAATTGGAAATAATACTACAACTAAGATTTTCTCGCACTTTTCACTAYCAAAAAGCGAAAAAGACGCCATGTTAAAAAACAACCCCATAATGAAACGCTTTTCCCAACTCCGTAACAGCTAATATGGCGTTTWCAGTGTAAAAACTGAGCGGAATAAAGATAGCATCGAACAGCTCGCCTTATCGTGAAAGAACGTAGCTGGCACACCAATGTGTTACCGCCTATCAAACTACTTTTCTACGAAAGAGCTTTGTAAAATAAACCAAAATAGGTGTCTAGTCGTTYTAGCGCTTTCGCACAAATTGGGGACACTTTTCACTCACACACTATCACTTCATTCAATATTCTATGCGCACAACGCTCACATTTGGGGAGGTGAGAGAAAACCCTAGTAGCAAAGGAGAGAACAACACATCAAACAAACTCAGTTCACGTGTCGACCGCAGGGCTCAAACCAGCGACCCGCGACCTGTTGGACCCACAGCTGTGAAAGACGACGCGTTAGCCGCGAACGCCACCCATGCTACCATTCACAAGCCTTCCATGACACTATATGCCCGTACAGTTATTAGTTATCCATATCCATTCAACTTTCAATTATTCATTAACACTTTACGATACGCGAAATTCTGTGAAAGGAAACGACTCTAAGTTCATCTTTAATTTTAGTCGTACACAACTAGGCTGTCTAATGTAAAATCATAAATCACTACGTTASGCAGACCAGGCATCATCATGATAAGGTTGGTCACATGCTTTGTACGGATATCAATTAAACAAGGATTTCTCAACAGTTTACAACAGATTAAACATATTAGCACTAGGATTTCCAGTGTAATGCTAATACCATTACTTGGGTACTGCAGAGGACAATAGAGCATTATGCCTCAGGTACAAATAAGGGCAATGGAATATCATTTCTTGGGTACTACAGAGGGCAATAGAGCCACCCGCTTAACTCAGCAAAAATTWAAAAAGTAGGTAAACAATGAACATTCCTCAAATAACAGAACAATAACATTTGCTTTCAATTTTTTCTCAAAAGATGTTTTATAATTTATAAATAATTATTTTCTTTAAATGAATAACTTTTTTAAAATGCAACATCAAAGGAACATTGTGTAGTTCCAGAAATCATCCATACCCACCCCACACAGGAATTTGGAATTTCCAAAGAGTAGGGGGTCAGAGAAAGAACAAAAATTACAGAGTTTGTATGGAAGAAAATTGGAATTTCCAGGGGTAGGGGGTGTCTTAAAAAAATTCCTCTGTGAGGGGGGTATGGATAATTTTTTGAACTACACATTGTATTAACATGAATAATAAACCCATAAGAAGAAAGGTCACATTTTGGGTTACTACCATCAGAAGATATTAATAAAACAGCTGATTAAAAGATTAAAACATTATTGAAGATGCTGACAAATAGCCTCAGTAAACTGTGAGCAGCTGGCCTTGCCTCCTAAATCCCCAGTGATCATCTGTAAAGAGAGCAGACAACAGATAAACATCTTGTATACTTCTACTTTATTAATTGATAAAGCGTAATATAAATAAATAGCTAATATATAAATAGATATAAAATAGATATAAAACATATAAAATAAATCAATAAAATTAATAATTAAAATTAAAATTCAAGTCTAAAAATAATATGACATTGTCAAACTCATTAATAATTAATGAGG